ACTTTCCTCATTTAGAACGAACTTCTTGACAAGACGGCAAAATCCGTCTACCCAAGCGACGTGTTCTTCCACTTTCACTTTCAGTTTACCACTGCTTAAAACCTCCACGCAGTTATTGTGTCCTTAACAGTAAGTGCATCATTTAAATCAATGTAAGAATACAAATCGGATGTCTACTTGTAGTAAAAAACCGTTCCTTAAGATATTAAGAGTAGCTAGGAGTACTTCAAAAACTGACTATCCGAGTAGTACATTGCTTGACGCAGTCTCAGTAGAAAGGTACTATTTGATGTTTTAAACCTTAAAATCGCCAAAGCGACGTCGATTTAACAACCTTTTGCCTTTTTTGCCGCGATAGTTATAAGATAATAGCTCTTTGTAACCCAGTGTTGAGTATTTCAGTCAACTTCTCACGGTTCCGAAGATAACAGACCGTCTCTAAACGTAAAGTGTAAACAATTTTCTAATTTTCGGCTCATACTAGTGCTATATAGTGATGGAACAAAGTGTTGAGCCTGAATCAAAAACATGATCCTGCTAAGAATGCGGTGAACATGGGATACTGTTCTTAGATGGACTACGACACTAAATACAAAAAGTGGTGAAAAGAATGTAAGCGACGTGTTCCTGATCCTGTTTTGCCAAGCTTTTCGACCTGTCCATTGATTAGGAGGCTAAAGCAACTACGACGACGACCACAACGACAACTTCAAAAAAACAATAGGTTTAATGATCAAAACAACTGCTCTGCACGTGCATCACGCTCTTAAGTACATTTCTTTGGCGTCCACTCCATAAAACGTCAAATTAGGAGGTTTACATGGAGGTGGGGGACCCCAGGTAGGTGAGGTAACCCGCTTAGGTGGGGTAAAAAATTAATCCTCCTTTACATGCAATCTTACAACAGGCCCTTAAAGTTGTTTTTAGTGTGAAAACAACTTTAATGTCATTAGGATGCAACATTCCGGGAAATGCCATGCCGTTTGACACATTTAACAATGGAAACGGGTTGCAATTCGATAATAACTACTGGATGTCAGTACGCACAAGTGCAGGAAAAAAATGGTGCTCTTTCGTTGTATTGAGATATAAAAAGCGATTTGTTTTATGGAATGACCTTGGCATCGTAAAGAGCCAATCTAAATCTTTCATTTGTTAGCTTTTGTAGCAAAATTAGTCTTTTTAAAGTACCTTATTTGGAAACAAAAAACGGGATTCGGGAAAGAGGTGAAAATATAAATGCGTGATAAGGGATTAACGTGAAAAAGTAGCCGGAATGCGGGGAATCAGAATACCCCTGAGACCCTGTAACTTCGTGGATTGGCTTGACCTCAAATCGGCGTTAATGGAAAAAATGGCGTCCCTTCTTGGCATCAGAATTTCTTACCCTCTCCCCTTTTCTTTTTGAAAACTTTTAATATCTCATTTTTTTATTGTGGCATTTCTTGGTGTGAACTAGACGATATGAAACTTCCGGTCTATAAAATCGATTTAAATTCTTTTGCGTTATTACTTTCATGTCTTTCATGAGGTATGAAAGTAGCTAAACTCATATTTTCACAAATTTTCAGTTCGAAAGGGTCCTTTCTTTGGTGAAGGAGTATGCAGCTTCAAAACTTTAGCGTAACGCGGCATTCTGGCAAGTGGTGGGCGATAAAGCTAAAAGTGACTTGTCTTTTCAGACTTTAGTATCTGAGCAGCCCTAGTCTTATAAAAAGAGTTACTCGAATGTTAATGAGTTCCTCAAGTGATGAATTCACTTTTTCGTAACCAACCTCAAAAGACGGTGATGGAATATTAGGAGTCCATCAGAGTCGCGCGGGTGAGCATGTTGCATGTTTCTTGTCAGCGCGCAAAGCAAACGCGCTCGCTCGTACGTAACATGCTCGCCCGCGCGACAATCCTGAGGGACTATGGTAGCAGTCCAGTGGCGGGTCTAGGGGAGGGGGCCCGGAGCCCGGTGCCCCGCCCCCCGTTATTTTTAGAAAAAAATGAGGCCCGAGGGGCCGAAAAAAATTTTTTGAGACCGGGCCCCCCGTCACCTCAGAGTCTGGATGCCCCCCTCCCATCTGAAGGACTGGATCCGCCTCTGCAGTCTAATAACATAAGTTTCTGTTGGTTTCTGGCCGCCATATTGGTTTCTTCAGGCTCGGCAGACAAATCCGCCTGCTCTACAATAAAGCTCTAGAAATTTGTATTAAACATGAAAAAGAAAAAATCGCATAGTGGACCTGAATCTTGGCGAGATTTTTGGCATATTTTGTCTTCTTTCATCTCCCAGTTTCTGGACTTAATCCAATGAATGTTTTCCTTTTTCATTCGTCCCCAGGGCTTTTCCCTAAAAAAATGCCCTTTTCCCGCGCTGCCCTCCCGTTTTTTAGGGAAAAGCCCTGAGGACAGCCCTAGGGACAAGGTTCCGCCAAGAATTTTTCATTATTTCAGTGAGTGGCCTGGGAACCTAATACCGTAAAATTCCGCAAATAAGCCCCTCCATGTATAAGCCCCTCCAAATATAAGCCCCCCAAACTCGTAACGCAAAAAACCCTCCTTTAAATCGCCCCTCCAAATATAAGCCCCCGGGGGCTTGTACTTGGAAAATTGCCCTCAAATACAAATTAAAAGAAAGCAAAAATGGTAAATTTACTTCTAACTATAAGCTTAGCCCAATCGATTTTGAAACACGAATTTCCCTCCGTAGATAAGCCCCTCAGAATTTAAGCCCCTCCAAAAATAAGCCCCTCAAAAAGGCCCTTTGAAAAATATGAGCCCCGAGCAGGGACCGCGGAGACCATTTTAAGGTGGTAGGGCTAAAAACTCTGGCCAATATAAAGAAACATTCAGGCTAGGTCGGTGTTTCGCCATTTATCTTGCATTTGCGCGCAATCTTATTTACCACCTCAACAAATATAAGAGAATCGTCCACACGTATTATACTATCCAATATAGCCGATATGTTACATAAACCTCCTGAGGTTGCTACTTTTTGAAGTTGCCCGAAGTGCCGAAGCTTCTCTTGCGATTCTTAATGCGGAAAACAAACTCCTGTGTAGTTGTTATAGAGACACTGTTCTAGGTTTGTGACCATTCGGCACTGCTTGGTCACCCATCCCGGGTAGAAGCCACGTCTTTAGATGCCGTGCAGATGAGAATGAACGCTCGCCAGCAGCGCTGGTTGCAGGATTTACAGGAGGCAGCTTACAGACAGTTTGGGCTTCCTGAATTAGCTTCTCTCCTGGTTTTGGAAACTTTGACACCGCCTTCAGGATTTCGTCAAAACATGCTATCTTCTCTTATAACATAACTTCCAAAATACTTAGTTGCATGCCCGGGTAGTGCGCCTGTATCAACATCTTCTCCGTATGATGCTTCAAGAAACTTGAACTCTGCCCCATAGTCGTCATCACCATTAACAGCTTTAACCAAGAAGGTGTCCATCTGGGCGTAGGAGCTGAAGCTTTCCTGATAGATAGCACTGACGATAAGATCAATAGCCTCATAACAGACCCTTCTAAAGTGATCTTTGGCAGTTTGGGGGTAGCTTGGTGTGCCAGCACCAACCTCTAGTTTTGCCGAAGTGCATCGCTTTCTTAAAAGCGTTGGTTTACCAAGCAGGCCTTCGCTCTTGCGGGAAATATTAGCATAACTGGGCATTTTTGTGAGCGTCTCCTTTGTTAGATTTGCCACCTTAGTACCCTGAAGGTCCTTAGATAGATTATCGGTGTGGGAATGAAGCTTCCCTTCAAAATGCAAACCAAAGAAAAAGTCAAATCGCTCCATTTAGGTCTTACATCCTATTATCCTTGCACGCACATCGGGTTGTAATCGTTCGGACAAGCAAACATCCCACTCTTCCATAAGAACTGCATAGTTCTCAAGAATTAGTCGAAAACAACTGGCTCTCACCGTCCACCTTTAAGGGAAAAGTACAATAATTCCACGAAAACTTTTTCCATGTCAACTGGAGCCCTAGAAAATATATCCCAGCAAAAAAGTGGTAGGGCTATAGCCCTACCAGCCCCTCCCCCTCCGCGGTCCCTCTCGAGGCTTATTTTCCGAATTTTACGGTATCACAGGTAGACCATCCGAACTGTTCGAGGCATCTTGATGTCATATGCGAATGTGATCCATACATTTACTGCGCATAAACGCCTGCTCTCGGCTTGATTCAAGTGATCGGCAGAAATGCTTCTTGAAACAGAATTTTGTACCCGTTTTGACCCCAAATGTTGATATAATGTAAGAAAAATGAAGAAAGGAAAGAAAAAAGAAAGATGACTTACTATGTGTTTTTGAAAACGCCACAACTTGAACCTACATGAAGAACGCGACTAAAAACATACTTCAGAACTCTAGAGTAACGTAACTAAGAAACAATCCATCTGTTACCTAGATACAATCTCTTAACGCATCCCAGTATAACAACAACCCAAATTTTACTGCCAGTTTTTAATTCTAACGGTCAATCGTTGAAGTTGCCTGATGAGTGTGGTCCTACAATTTCGGACCATACGAAACAGCACTCAACATTTGGGATCAAAAGGTGCAAAAATTCCGTGTTTTGTGAAGCATTTCTACCCATGTCGCGCGTAACAATAGTGAGTTTACACAACAGGACGACAGGAAGAAGAGGACGGCAAAACAGCTATGTGTGTGACAAACGTGACAGGGCTATCACTTGTGGGTTTTATCGTGATCTTCACTTAACAACAAGGTTTTCTGGTCCTTTACAAAAAGATCTGTTTAAAGGAAAGTGAAGTTTGGCGAAAAGTTGTTTCAAATAAAATTATTGTCTCGCTTGTCACACAAGGTTTGCCGTCTTCTTTCCTCTCCCTTCCTGTTGCGTAAGTTCACTATCGTCGACATCACGCAACCTCATTCCCAGGTTCTCTCTTCTACCCGTCGGGAAAGATAGGAGAAAACCCTGAGAACGAGGTTAGTTCAGATGGTGTGCCTGTGCTGATATGAGCCCACGATCGAAGGCTTATCATAAATCGTCCAAGATGGCGGACGCTGTAGCTGATGACGATGTTACTTTACCAAGAGGTAATGTGAAAATGTTCTTTCTTTTTTATACCTTTTCAGCACTCTAACTTCTTTGGATCGTACAAAAGATCTCTCTTGCTTTTTTTTGTATATTTTATGGTAAAAAGGGGTTTGTTTGTCCGTTTTTGCCGAAATTTTGTGTTAATTTCAACTAAGCTTACTTTGTTTCTATAAATCCTTTGAATTATAAGTAATAAGCACATATAGTTTGACCTTTTTATGTTACAGCTAAGTCACATCCAAAAAATTAATTCAGATCCACTGCGCCACGCAGCCACTGAATAATTGTTATGCTAAAATTATTATGCTTAAACAAGAAAAAACCGAATGTTCAAAACAAAACTTCAATAATTATTTATTAAAACGAACAATAACAGAAACTGTAACAGTAACAAATACAAATGTATACGGCAAATGTTCAGTGAGGGAATTTTAATCTATTTCTACACTGATCGCTTTGACAGTGTTACTTACATCAATACCGTAAATAAAGGCTTTCTGGTGTGGTATCTTCGACATTCAATTCGAAGGGGGCGATTTATCGAGGGAAGACGATTATTTCAAATATCGCTCACTGGAAGTCATGCCCTAAATATTTTGTTTTATTATCCCACTGGATAAAAAAATTATCACATCAAATAAACTGAACATTATAATATTTAATATTATGCTTAAAGCATTTCTCTCTGCCGTGAATGCTGTTTGAAGTTGGTGGAACTGAATTTATCATGAATTCAAAGATACATGTGAAGAAAATTAGCTAAAAGATGTGTTTTAAAGCTATTTTGTATTATTTTGGTCTTAATTCACTCTCGCATTTAATAGCGTGTGGAAGTACGGAGCTGAAACTAGTCTTTGATTTGATCAATCTGTCACATCGATCATCGGGAAAGAATCAATTCATTGTTGGTTTGCCTTGGTGTAGCACAAATTCAAAGGTACAGATTTTAGGGAAAAGCAAGGTTTGGACGGTAAGAAGCACAAGTGAAATGCACTTTTCAATAAAACATGATAGTGCCCCACAGCATTTGCATTCGCACTTAATCTAGCATTGCCTGGCAACCCAAAAATACACCCTGATGTCTCAACTGGATGATATCAGCTGCAGACACCCAAGAGATCTATAGAAATATTCCCAATAGAGTTTCTGCCTCACTGTTCAATCAACGCGCAAGATGCATCTTAAAATCTTTAATACAGGGATGCAGTTGTTATCAAAAGAATTGTAACGAAAAAAATTAATGCTTATCATTGAAATTAATGACTTAAAGCTGTTGTTACATTTACTGTACAGATCGGAGATATTTTTCCTCTTTTTAATTTTCTTCTTTTGTATTTATACATGTATCATTTTTCGCATTTTCCTTTGGCTTTACTTGTCTGCGTTTTGGGATTTCAAAGTGTCACTGTTGGCCATATTAACACTGTGATCAGGGTTTTTCTTCTTGCATGGGCATTTTAATGGGACAAGTATTTGTATTATAAATTATCGTCAGTGAGAAGTATCTACTGGCAGTATTTTAAAGCACTCATTTTAAATTAACCCCCTAAATCCTAACAGTGGTAAGCATCAAATTTCTCCTTTTAATACCAACACTTTATAAAACTGAGTAGTCATGAGAATATTATTATGGACATGATCACACAAGATGAATTTGCAAGATATTCTATCAACTTCTCCCCACTACTTCTGTAGGAAATGAGTAGGGGCAACATATGAGTATTCAAATTTTGATCTTATGGTTTATAGCCCAGGTTAACAGTAATAATGTGTATGTTCCATTACTTTATTAAGCTGCTGTCAACAAGATGATCAAGGAAATGATTCCCAATGTCCGAGTGTCCAATGATGCACGTGAACTTATTCTAAACTGTTGCACAGGTGGGTACCCGAGTAGCAGCTCTTTCACTCTTGGACATATTTACAATAATATCAGCGACGGCGAAGTTCATATCGTTGAATAGTCTCCGCTACGAAGTTGCCTTGAAGTCATTTCTTACCGTCAAAATCGTCAATGGTAAGATATTCTTGCATTTCAAAAAGTTCTTACTCTGAAACTTTGGCAAAACACCCAGTTCACGATAGTGATTTTGTTCTGCTTTATACTCATTGCTTAGTGTGGTGAATTTAACATCATAGTCCGAGACAGTGAACCAGTCAGTGAAACAGAAATAGCAAAAAATTCCAACTCTGGTTAAATCTTTTCTTATGGTTGAGAATAAAATATTTTTGAAACTGAGAATGTTTTCAGATCGAAGCTGTGTAAATCGAACTAAAACAGTGCATGGAACCTTGCATTTCCTGTTTTTACTCTCACCTATTGTATGGAATATATGTGAAAATCTTCATTATGAATCAGTATATTCCAAAGAGCCAGTGACGGCTTAGTCACAACGGCCGAGAATACTATTGACTGACAATATACAGAGCAGGGGCAGCTGTAGTGTCAACTATTATTAGGATAATAAGAATAAACTTTAAAATAATATTATATAGTATACCTGCCAACTTTGTTTGATTTATAGGCGTAACATTTTTATCCTGACAGTGCCAGGATTTTTCATACAGTTCCGATAATATCCGAAGATCTCTTAAGACGGTTCAAAGATACTCCGAAGAGTTTCATCTAACACGAACACAGGAACTTGAAGAGTCACATGATTTCTTCTCCAGTGGCTTTGGCTACTAAAAATTAATAGGACAATTCTGAGAAAGTCATTCATTCATGTGGACTAAAGTCCATTTCTTTTCTAAATTAATATTGGTTCCAGTTTCTTTGAATAATTAATATATTTTAAAATGAGACAGTTAATGCTGTAAAGGCTCAAGAGTTTTTACCAGGCATGAGAAATTAGAAAACATGCTTGAGTAGGTGTGAGATCGAAGTTTTCGATCCACAGGCATGACAATCATGCCTTAGGCTTGGCACTTGGCAGGTATATTATAGCACTGAGTGCATGTTAGTGATATGGTTCATTTCTGATTGTCCCTTATAGAGTTCATTCATCTAGTGTCATCAGAGGCAAATGAGATCTGCAATCGTCAACTAAAGAAGACAATTCTCCCTGAACATGTATTCCAAGCTTTACAGGTAACGTTTATTGATTATAATAAAGTTGTCAACTACCAATAATCTCCTAAGTTTCATTGTTCATTGCCACTTAGCATATAATTTTCATAAATATTGTCAGCTTTATTTTATTTCAAACTTGGCTTTGGGGAGCATTTGTTAAGTTATGATTTCCAATTTACGTGAACATCAAAGATGTAGCTATTTGAAGAGGTATCCACCGGCTGAAACAGAGCATACATGTATGTATGTACTACAGGCTTGATTTGGGTTTAAGCTAAAAAACAAAGATATGGGGTAATTTTGAAGGTGCAGCTTAGTAGAAAGTTACAGAGCTTTTCCTTAGCTACATTCTTGGAATATTATGTCCTGCTATTTCACAAAATCAATAGTGTACAATTGGTAAAAAAGATTTTAATTATGTGCTGAAAAATTAATGTGCCCTACCAAGTGAACAGAAAAATGTTTGCCAACCTGTTGTCAGTCTAGCTAAGTACAATGTAAGTACATTGCAACTGCCTGATTGTTGAATAATACATCTTTCCTGTGTTTGATATTAAAAGGTTATGATATTGTGATGGAAATAACTTAAAATTATATTTTACTTGCTCCTTTGGTTTGCTCTTTTAGGGACTAGGTTTTCATTCTTACATTGAAGAAGTAAGATCAGTTCTCCAGGAATGTAAAACACAGGCTGCTGTAAGTACACTATTGATAAGATGGTGAAAAATTTTAATGTTATAATGAACAATACGTTTATTGTACTTAGAATAATTTTTGAGCCTCTGGGAATTGTCCCGTGGTATGACTTCTCCAACCAAATAATATAACCTTCCACAGAAGGGCATAACTTTCTCTAGTTGTTATGGTTAAGTGTAGGTTTACAACAGAACTTCTTCTTAAGGCTTTTTTTGCTCTAATTAATTTCTTTTTTCGCATTCTTTAATTCAACGGTTGTTCTTACTTGCTTATTTTTTTAACAGAACAAAAGAAGGGCAAGCACACGGCTAGAGAATCTGGTAAGATTTAATCGTTTTTTAACTCTTCAGTGTTCAATACATGTATAATGTTATTAACAGTGCAACATTTGTTATTCTTATTTATAAACCATCTGCTTTACCAGTGTTTAAGACATTAAATAATGTCCTGAAAGGTTGTTGCTTCAATTGGATTATAGTCCATAATTTCAAAAATAATTGCATCAATATCCATCCCTTTCAATGTATATGTTGCAGTTATTTTTTTATTGCAGTTAATTTTGTATTTCCTTTGTTTCAAATTCATAAGCATCATTTTTGATATTATCAAAAAACAAAGGAAAAATAAAAATTAACTGAGATGAAAAATTAACTATAACAAATAGTCTGACAGATTTACATTTGGATCCAAAAAATTATGTACTATGTAAAGTATCAAACGTGGCAATGGCTGTTGCAGAATCAGTGAAAATTAAAACTAAACTGGCTTGAAATGTTCAAACTGAAGAAAAATTTGCACTGCAACATTTCTACATAATTACTATTGTCTCTCGTAGATCTTATTTTTGTTATACATGTTGCTGAAGTCTTACTGTAATAATTATTGGTTTTCTGTCAACAGTTCCTCTGTCAAAAATTATTTCTTGTTACAATTGTGGTTTTTGAGGAGGACACAAAACATTAAAATTTCATTGTTAATTAACAATAGTATTGTTGCCTTTCAAGGGTATTCCAGAAGAAGAACTTTTGCGGCAACAGCAAGAGCTGTTTCAACAGGCACGTCTCCAGCAAGCTCAGGTAAATCATACTTACAGTAATTACATGTACCTGCAACTAGGAATCTAAGTCTAAAAAGCTGGTTTAAGAACCTGTTAAGCCCCTTTTAGGCTTGCCAGATACGGTAAGCTATACAATATCCTTTTTATCCTAAAATTTGAAACAGGTTCCTATTTTCTAAAATCTATACAAAAAATTGGTACAACTGGGCAAATACGTTAAGTCAATATTCTGAAGCCTCTTTAGAGACTTAGATGCCTTATCTCTCCAACTGCAAAGTAATGGTATGTTATGCTGGTATGCAGATTTGAAAAAATAAAGATAATGCTCTTATATATCTATAAATTGTATTTTTTTTCTTTAAATTAAATAACCTAAATAGCCTAAATTTTTGCTGATTAACATTTATGTGATAACCAACTCAGGTTGACTTGGGAAAGTGCAGGTTTTTAGTCAGGGGATTTTACTGTATTTACTGTATTTATATACTAAAATAATGTAATAACCCTGCAACAATCATTGTATCTTAAAGTTGCACTTTATTACAATGTATGAAGAAAGGCGTTTACAAAATGTAGATACAGCCTCTGATTGGACATTTATTGCAAATGTAACATTATACACTTAATGTCAGATCCCGAGGGAAACAGTTTTGTGACAACGGAAAACAAAACTAACTGGTTTCCCGAGGGACCTGGCATTAAGTGTTTTGTTATATTTCTAGACTTTCACTTCAACAGCAACAAAAGAATAACCTGAGCGAACCAACACAGTCGACTCGGTACTTATAGCAGCACAAGTTTAATTCTTAACACCACTTTACAAAGTACTTTCCCTATATTATCTGCATCTTTTTCATCCACCAGCAACTGTTTCTCTTCTGGGATGAATTTAAAAATCGTTGTTTTTTTAGCTTGAGGCTTCGTGTTTGTGTTCAAAAAGTCGTGTAAATTCATGAAAAAGAAAACTGGCAGTGATTTTTGCGTCTTCTGTCCACTTCCCACCATGCTTTGATCACGTTCTGTAATGTAGCCTGAGCGGGGGAACATTGCTTAATGTATCACGACCAGGATACATTTGATTTTAGTCAAGGCCACGTGACCAAGAATCAACCAATGGCAGTCCCTGTTTAGTTGAGTGAAAGTCTAGGAATATAACAAATACAGTTGTATACTGTACAACATTGTCTAAAACGTTGTTTGCGTAAACTTTCAACTGTATCTAGATTGTTTCCGGTTGGTTTAAATTTTAGTGTAGTTGCTTATTTAATTGTTGCAATGTGTTCAATTTTCCCTTTTCTGTAAAATTAGGGATAACCGTCTTTTTTTGGATTATAGGCTGAACAAGAGGAATTTCAGCAATTTCAACAAGCTCAAGCAGCAGCTTTCCAACAACAACAACAACAACAACAACAACAACATCAACAACAACAACAGACACTTCAACCCAGCACATCAACTCTACCTCCTCCAGCAACCCAGTGACCCTTATTATAGTTTAAAAGACTGTCCTGCCTCTTAACTTAAATTTTTTAGAATTATTTAGCCTCCCTCCCCTCTTTGCTCAGCTCTCTCACTGTAAACCCATTCTCTGGAATGGTAAAGGGTTAACAAATGTAGCGTGACAAATTGAATTATGAAGACTCTGCTGAAAGGTTGCATTTGTGGGGGCAGCAAGTGCCATATATTCAAGTTAAAGTAAAATTTTTAGTTCCTAGCAGTTTTGGTAGGGGTATGGGCAAAGAGGGTTGAGAAAATGGAACAAAAAAAGAAGCATTCCTCTTTCCCCAGTGTCCCTACTACTATTTTAGTTATCGCTTTAGCCTTATCATCAAACTGCATACTTTCCATACTGTTCCTCTAACATTTCTTGAAACATGCGCTAGAGGAATATTGTTGCGAGGAAATTCTTTTATATTCTTATAATCTTAATGTCTCATTAAAATAATCAGTGACACACATAAGGAGTATTTAGATGCATGGTGGTCATTTTTAGGGCTGCAGAGTTTAATAGACTCTAGAGCAGGTTGTATACTCACCACAAGGCGACTGCTAGAGCATCAAAGTTTAGGGATGATTGCGCAGCAATCGAAAGTGAGCAAAGGAGTCATGAGATGAGTAGAAACTGAAAGTAGACTTTGAGAAAGTCCAGGCTAGTGAAATAAGGTGAAATCTGTGCAAACAGGAATCGCTTTCTTACAGTCAAAGCCCTGCTGACCAACACCTCTTGTGTGTAGATGTTGTGATTCAATTTTGTCCTTGGTTTAATTTTTATTTCCCTTTGTTCTAAGCTCATTATCATACATAACCATACCCCAAAACAAAGGAAAACAAAATTAAACCAAAGACAAAATTGAACCACAACAGAGACACCCCCCTCAAGTGGACACAGCTATAATTATGTAGATGAACCTCTGCTACTGCAGATGTCCCGTAGGTTGACTCCACCCTTAAGTGCAACCTCGGTCGTGAGTTCCCAGCCACATAAAGTCAAACCTTGTTAACAGAAACCCCCTGTGCAGTACACAGTAAAAACCCGCATATAAGAACCTACAGGCTGAAACCGTTCAGCCTGACCTCGAAAATTCTAGGTTCTTATATATGTGGGTTTTTACTGTAATCTCTCTTAACCCTTCAAGTCTGTAGAGTGACCAACATTGGTTTTCTCCTAACAATTTATCCGTACACAATCAAGAGACACGGTTATGGGATTTAATGAAATGATCACCACAGGGAAATAACAAACACTTAATGACTGGTCATGAGGGAAACAGTTAATTGAGATTCTCGGGAGAACAAAATTTACTGTTTCTCAGGGGACCAGTCTTTGAGTGACTTATTATATAGCTGAAAAGTTTGAAGCTGGAAAGTCATTAAACCTCACTGTGACGGCAGTCATCAGTCAACATTCGCGGGTAACATTGCATTATTACCTTCTGGTGTCATAGATTTGTTGCATGTTGCCCGCTCAGAGATTTTGGCGGGAAACAGTTTTATTGGTATATGTCATGTGACCTCAAAGTAACCAATGAGACCGTGCGCTGTTGAGAAGAAATTTCCAGCTATATAACAATGCTCTTTATCAAATTCTCTTAACTCATTCGTTTAGGAGTAATTTGTTATGGAGATCATGTCTGGAGAATTTGTATGTGGATATTGGGGCTTAAAGGATTAAGCTACAGTTACAGTTCCATCCACATGGCCGCTCCTTTGGGGGCTTCCTCTGTAGTTCTGATGGTGTCTGCAATCATTGTGTTTGAGAAAATTGCCTGAAAGTAACATGTTTGCTGAGCTGAAATTATCATGGATAATAGAAAGACCAGTCTTCCTATTATCGGCTCTATTATCCATGAAATTATGTAGCCTATACACCGAATGCAAATATGGCGGACCTCTCGGACGGCCCGGGTCTAGTTGCGCGAAAGCGAGGCTAGTGAGGCCTCCAGAGTTTTGTTTTGACTGCGCGTCTTAGCGATTGAGTTGATCGATATGGTTTGCTTCGAGTTGTTGCATGCCTGAGGGCCACCAAAAAGAAGATTTTACTCTAGCTGGAATAGCCTTTACTTCCCCGAGATCTTTTCACAAAGAAAGTTAAGGATTCATGCGATTCGGCGCGGCGATGGGAAGCACTTTACAGCAAAAGTGTGCTCGCTTCACTTGCTTTAGACTAGTTATAGTTGTCACTAAATCTGCCCCCGACCTTTTAAAACCCGAATGAAGACACCTTGTGGTTGTCCATGTATTTGCCATGAACCTTTGAAATGCAGTTTTCGTATTAGAGTTTCTGAGTGTAATGCTTTTGTTCTCTTTTGTGTTTTCTCAAGTATTACACTTTGTTTCCTGGGTTAATGAAAATCCTCATACATGACATGCCTAGGATGGACAATTGTTTTTTATACATCTCATAATGAGTTCAACCAACACTGCAAATGTAATAGAACGCGTGTTAAACAGCAAAACCATCTTTAATTATCTATTTGTAACTAAATTTCCCATAACTAATGTGTCGAACGGATGCTTTGGCTTCGAGTGTGACATTCTTGAACGCAACGTCGAACGCAACTGATATAAATGATTTCGCAATAAACTAACCATACAAAAACATGGACCACTGTTTCAAGTTTCTCACCTTTGAGATATTTCCCAGTTCATTTTTTCCGGCATGTCCTTGTATCAAATAAAATAATCGGGATTTCGCCATAAACTAACCCTAAAAACACATGGACCACTGTTTATTAAACCCTGAATACCTTAATATAGAACAAAACCCGGTTATTTTACGATAGCACCTTTCTTGTCTTTGACTGGGTTT